ATTTATTCATTTATTCATTTATTCATTTATTCATTTATTCATTTATTCATTTATTCATTTATTCATTTATTCATTTATTCATTTATTCATTTATGCATTTATTCATTTGTTCATTTGTTCATTTACTCATTTATTCATTTATTTATTTATTATTTTGCTCATTTGTTCACCTTATTCATTTATTAATTTGTTCATTTGTTCATTTATTCATTTATTTAATTATTCATTAACACTGTTTTTACATTCATACATTTATTGATTAAAAATGAACTGTTCTTTCTAATCCAGGATTTGACAAGATTCCAAAAATGAGGATCCGAATGACAAATGATTATATAAAAATGTTTGTGACTTTTTTTATGTATTCAGCAATAAATGTTTCAAGGCCTAAACAAGAGTATGAAACATATCACTGAAAGATATTACAAATTAAATGGTTTTCCATAAATTAGGTTATAAAATTGAAGTATAATAATATAAAAATATAAAATTGCAGTTTCATAAAATTATTATAAAATTGCAGTTTCATATTATTATTATAAAATTGTAGTTTAATAATATTATTATAAAATTATAGTTTAATAATATTATTATAACTATAACTGGTTGTTTACTAGAAGTATATATACTGAATGTGCACTTTATTCTATGAATATTAAGAAATCAATAGTTTTGACAGAAAAACAAAATATTATTCATGTTTCTTCGTTAGGTAAAATAAACAAAGTTTTTGAAAATAATAACCCCAAAAAGAATATAAATTAATTCAAAATAAATTAAGTATAAACTTTGCCGGTAAAAGAGAGAGAAAATAGCATAAAAATCATCATTAGAATCATTCAATACTCTGAAACAAAACACTTATCACAATAAAGTAAAGATTTCCCAATTTCTAATGTTTTCTACCCTCAAACTATAAATACGAAGTTCTAGGTAAGAGTTCCTAGGTGTAAATATATTTTTTACATAATACATTTTTATTAACTTAGCACATATTAGAATTGGAATTAAATCCTATTCCGACAGGGGAGGGGGACGTAAATTACTGGATTTTGCTCTGAATGTTTGGATTTTTGCAAATTTGCATAAATTTTTTGCAGATTTGCAATTGGATTTGCTCTACTTTAATCAAATTAAAGCCAAATGACTTTTTAAAAATGTATTAAATATAATAGATTTGTATGACAACACGATAAGAAAAAAGCTTATCTTGTTAAAAGGAAACGTCAGCCTGAATAATAGGGTTAAAAAATAATTGTAAAAAAGTTCGATGATTTTGAACAAAACATATTTTACCCTTTTTTGGAAATTAGTAACACAAATGAACCACCCGTTAAATATGTTTCATTTGTTAAAAATGATATTTCTAATAATTATAATATGCAAACAGTATTAACCAGACAACTCTGGAATAGGAAGACGACTTTAAGACTCAATTAATGAATATGAGACACAGGAACTGTACAGTGCAACTGCAAGCAGACCTATTTCACAAAACAAGCTACTTCTACAACTATCTTCTTTGTAACAACTTCAAGTACACTCAAACATTACTTTAATGTCGTCTTCCTATTCCACCGTTTTCTGGTTATTACTGTATGTAACAATGACTCATGGAATTCGGCATTTTTGTTTTGAATCTTCATGACAAGAACAAATCTAAGAGCTGACGAGGGTCCAACCCAGACCGAAATATATTTTCAAAAAATGTGGAACTATAAACACCGATTTGTTTACTCTGTGAAGGTTTAGAGCATCTTAAACCGAATTTTAAATTATCTAGAGAAAAATATTGCAATGAAACGCAAGTAGGAATTAAGAAATTTAATTTGCTTAAAGGGACTGTAAGCGTAATCTCAAAAGACCTTCCTATCCAATGGAGGGTTACTTGAATTTACGTCAGCAGTCTATTTAATCGTTTGTTTCAAGTTTGCTGAACAAACAAAACACTTTTTTGTGAGATATAGTTTAAAGGATAATTTGAAATTAACATACAGGGTTCACCACAAAAGATAAGACTTCAGAGACGACTGTTTAAAATGTATATTGTCTCTTTCCTTATATTCATGATTCCCGGCTTTTTCTTTCTTTGTCAAGTCATTAAATAAGTCATTAAAAACCACATCCACAAATAATTAAACTTGGGGTCGTTATATTTCCAGGTTTTAAGTCGTCTTTACAATCTCATCCTTTGATGGTAACCCTGTACATTTAGTAAGAGATAAACTGAAGCCCATAAAGATAACAAATATGACAAATCCGAGTAAACATTCACACAAAATGTAAATAGTCAGGTGTTAGAAAACAAGTTCGAACTTTTAAGTCAAATTTAAAATTTCTTTGTACACTTAAAATTACTGCGCAGTCATAAACTCAAAACTATGTTGACAATCTTAAATCTCTTCTTTTAGTGTCTCCATAATATTTAGCCACAAATATTGATACATTTATAGATAAAATTGTCATTAATAATAAAAAATGTCAAACATGAAATTTCGCTTTTTCAAAAATATTATAAGGGTTGTACTGATGGTGCGATGAGGCTCATCAGCTGAGAATCAACTAAAATTGGGATCAGACTTTTTATTTGAAAAATAAGGCATCGTCGTGGATTTTTTTAGCCTATGTTACCACCTGGATTACCATGGGCTCCCTCAAAATTTAGCCAATTCGGTAAAGCCGTTGGGCCAGCTATAGCAAACACATGTAGAACTAGGGGTGGCGTACGATATTTTCCAGGGGAGGGGGGGGGGTAATTGAAAGATTTCGCCCTTAGCATTTTATTAAGGTAATTTTGGTAATTTTTATGTCGAAATCTTGACATTGTCTGAAGTTAGAAGGGGTAATTATTTTAAAGCAATTGTTAAAAATAAAATAATAGAGGCAGGAGGGGGGCGTCCCCCCCTTCCGCCCCACCTTTAAGGCACCTCTGAACCTGTCCTAACATATTGAGAGATTTACAGTTTAAGGTCTGAACACAATAAGTTGAAATTTAAAACGATCGTTTTTTGTCCTGGGAGGAAGGGGAAGGTCCTGAAACCCAGGAAAAGCATTAAGCTGAACTTTCTTTTGAAAAAAAAATCAAGTTTGACTGATTACAATCCTAAGCAAGCATTCATAAACTCTTCTTCAGTTACTCTCCCATCAGCATCCTTGTCCATCCGAGCAAATATCTAAATAAACAAATAATTTTAAATTTGGGAAAAATGGCCAAACAGCTTTATTAAACTGGCCTGAAATTTATGGGAACCCATGGGTATCCTGGGGGTAACATAGACTAAAATTCGATTTATTAAACTCCCCAGGCAATGCCAGGCACTTCAGCTAGTATCTGTTAAATGAATACATTTTGAAAATTGCGTGATTATGAAACCAACCAGATACTCAAAGGAATTAAGTATAATTTTTCAAACTAAGAAGGTCTAATAGTCAAAGTTTATTATATTATAGGTGATAAACCTGTTCAGCTTGTCCATTGTCATTATGCCCCAACATCAGATAAACCCCTTTTATCACTCTATTATATTATATTATAGGTGATAAAATTAAACCTGTTCAGCTTGTCCATTGTCATTATGCCCCAACATCAGATAAACCCCTTTTATCACTCTATTATATTATATTATAGGTGATAAAATTAAACCTGTTCAGCTTGTCCATTGTCATTATGCCCCAACATCAGATAAACCCCTTTTATCACTCTATTATATTATATCATAGGTGATTGTTTTAAACCTGTTCAGCTTGTCCATTGTCATTATGCCCCAACATCAGATAAACCCCTTTTATCACTCTATTATATTATATCATATTAAATTAAACCTGTTCAGCTTGTCCATTGTCATTATGACCCAACATCAGATAAACACCTTTTATCACTCTAAACAAAATAATGAAATAGAAAAATACAATATATTTAAATTTGACAGGAATAAAATACATTTCAAGGGAGTGACCGTCAATGTATGACAGTTGAACTGAGAATGTAGTATTGTGGAGAATTTGTTAGGAATCATCTGAGACCTATAGAGACGTTTTTACGGCGCATATTTGTTCAGCAAGAGCGCTAATTCAATCATTAAAATTCTCATAGATTGTTCGTTTTTAGGGATGATTTTGAGAATCGGTTTTTAAAATATTATTTAATAACGACGATGTAATGTAGTAATAATAGTAATAACTCATTAGTTGTTTAGGAACAGGTGGAGAAAAAAAATAAGAAGAAAATAACTATCATCATCGAAATTAAGTAATCTTATTTAGTTATTGGTTTCTGTAAACATTTTCTGTAGATTTCCTGGAATTTTTATTGAAAAGACGACATTTGAAGAATTAGAAGATATCTGCAAACAAGCCAATAAAGAATAAGAAATTCAATATAATGATGAAAAAGAAATAATTGAGTCTAACATTGATTTATTGAGAAAATTTCAATTGAGAAATGTGTTCCTAAGCATCTGATTAGTTTACTGAAGACATTATTTTACATTTTTTTTATCAATTTAAAAAAAATCAATTCTCAAAACGTAACCACCGATTTGGATGATTTTGAATGTCAACTTTACACTCCAACTCAGTTATTATATACCATTATTTATCTCAAATGAATCCTAAAACATTTTTCCACAATACTTATACTCAACTTTTACTTAGAAAGGGTTTCTAGCAAAATGATGGGGAAATCGTTTCGCGAAAATTTCGCATTTTTTTCGGGAAAGTTTTCTTTCGCTGGAAACCTAGGTAGAGTTTTAAAGGGTTCTGCTGCAAATCGTAATGACGAGACATTTGAAATTACGTCTTTAGTTCTTTTAAATACATTAATCCACCTTTCCATTTCCTCGAGATCTATCGATCCATTCCCATCCACGTCATACATTCGGAAAGCCCAGGAGAGTTTGTCCCTAGGAATAAACAAACTTAAACATTTCAAATTCTTTTAGAAAATTTCGGATAATTTTAATTTTTAAAAGTTCTAGTTTTTATTGTTTTTAATGTTTATTTGTTAAAAATATTAATTGTTAATTTTGAAAAGAAATCAACGCAAATATAATTACGCAATGAAATTCTGTTTTCTATTAGAAGATTGACTTATCTTTTTGTTTACATACGGGTCAATTTTATTAAAGTTTAAACAATCTATTTGACAGGTTGCGAATAATACGAAAAGTTAAAGACTAAACCTTGTTAAAAACAATTCAAGTATTTCACTGTATTTCCACCAGCCAAAACCAAACTTCCTCGTAAGTATTTCTGATTTTAAAGGCTTTTTAACTTCTTTGTGGAACCTAGTATATACACCAAATACTTAGGAATGGATCGTTTTAATTAAAAAAAGGATCTTTTCGTTTTGATATACTACATAAAGTACGGTGGTCACCATTCTTATATGTACAAAGAAGAACACATTCCGTTCTAAGGTATTATATATTGACAATACCTTCACAGTAAGTTCTAAGATATTATATATTGACAATAAGCTTACAATACGTTCTAAGTTATTATATATTGACAATACGTTGACAATACGTTCTAAGGTATTATATATTGACAATACGTTCACAATACCTTATAAGGTATTATATATTGACAATAGGTTCACAATACGTTCTAAAGTATTATATATTGACAAGATACATTCACAAAACGTTCTAAGTTATTATAAATTGACAATATACGTTCACAATATGTTCTAAGGTATTATATATTGACAAGATACGTTCACAATAAACTGTCAAATTAGACAAACTAGTATCTTAGAACTGAACATGTCCTTTTTAAATAAATGTGAACATTGGCTGAACTTCCTTATGGAGAAAAAATCAAGTTTGGTTTTGGCTGGTGGAAATACAGTGTGAGTAGATTCTAGACTCAATTATTTTGATTATTATTTTGATTATTATTTTGATTATTATTTTGATTATTATTTTGATTATTATTTTGATTATTATTTTGATTATTATTTTGATTATTATTTTAATGATCACAGCTTTAAAACACAGTTTTAAAATAATTCATTATATAAAAAGTAATAAGCAGAAAAAAATAGAATAGGAATGTCTACAGCAAAACTTAAAAGTATTTGATGCAAAGCAAATAGTTTTACTAGACGGGTAATAAATTCCTAAATTAGTTAATTGGGTCTGTTTACATTGCACTATACCTATTTGGGCTTTCTAAAGTTATAACTTGATTCTAAAAATCCTTTCCTATTCCAGAGTTTTCTGGTAATCACTGTAAAATATGTTATTCAAGTTTTCTTAAAAATGAAGTTTTCCAAATGTTTTTGCTCAAGCTCCCTGAAAACATGTTGACTAAATACATCTGCATTCCCTGACGGAAAAACCTAGAGAAAAATATTTTATTAAAATGATAATTTTGTGGCGATCAAGAAATATTTTCATCCAGCAAGATATTTACAAATAGATTTATTGTTTAAATTTATCATGGGAGTTTACTAAAACTTATATTTAAAAAAGTTTTACAATTTTTACCTTTTTTTCCAATACAATATTGAATTCAAGAAAAAGATTTGAAATAAGGGATATTTGTTAAGAAAAAAAACCTATACATTAATTTTTTAGAAGATTAACCCTTATCATAAAATTATGTGGAGCAGATTATTAAGCAATCTGTTAAACTCATTTCTCAAACATCATTTTTGTTTATCAAAACCCCTACAGCGTTTTAAATATTGTTATTGGGACTTTTAACGTTATTGATCCTTTAATATGTAATAAGAGTTGTATTAAGGAAATTATGACGTAACTATTCCCCCTCGTTCCTTCATTTTTTCATTTTAAAAGAAAATACGGGAAATGAACAAATTGAATAAATTACTCTATTAAATATTTTGCACCTGGTCAAGAGTTAATTGGAGGATATTTTGAGATTGAATAATCTAGAGATTCAATCCCCACATAATGATAATCCCATGCAAGGAATGACTAGCTATCACCGGGTGACTGGATATAGAACTGGACAATAAAGTGGCCAACTGGGACAATAAAGTGACAAGCTGGGACAATAAAGTGGCCAGCTGAGACAATAAAGTGACCAGCTGGGACAATAAAGTGGCCAGCTGGGACAATAAAGTGGCCAGCTGAGACAATAAAGTGGCCAGCTTGGACAATAAAGTGGCCAGCTGGGACAATAAAGTCGTCAACTGGGACAATAAAGGGGTCAGCTGGGACAATAAAGTGGCCAGCTGGGACAATAAAGTGGCCAGCTGAGACAATAAAGTGACCATCTGGGACAATAAAGTGGCCAGCTCGGACAATAAAGTGGCCAGCTGAGACAATAAAGTGGCCAGCTGGGACAATAAAGTGACCAGCTGGGACAATAAAGTGGCCAGCTGGGACAATAAAGTGGCAAACTGAGACAATGAAGTGGCCAGCTTGGACAATAACGTGGCCAGCTGGGACAATAAAGTCGTCAACTGGGACAATAAAGTGGCTAGCTGGGACAATAAAGTGGCCAGCTGGAACAGTAAAGTGGCCAGCTGGAACAATAAAGTGGCCAGCTGGGACAATAAAGTGGCCAGCTGAGACAATAAAGTGGCCAGCTGGGACAATAAAGTGGCCAGCTGGGACAATAAAGTGGCCAGTTGGGACAATTAAGTCGTCAGCTTGGACAATAAATTGGCCAGGGGGGACAATAAAGTGGTCAGCTTGGACAATAAAGTTGCCAGTTGGGACAATAAAGTGGCCAGCGGGGACAATAAAGTGGCCAGCAGGGAAAATAAAGTGGCCAGCCGGAAAAAAACAAAGCTGCCAGCTAGGACAATGGAGTGGGGTTTGAATAACTTTTAAGTGAATGATCGGTATGAGATGAGGAAGGAATTTGCATTACTGCGGAATTGAAAAATTCTATATAAAAAATATTAATGTCTACCTGAGAATACATTGAGATGAATTTAGTACGGTTGAGTTGACCGCTTGGGCAATCTTTTCTAAACCCATAATACCATTCCTTAATATAAAGTTATTCTTACTTATAATCAGCTAACTAGAAATAAATAAACATATTTTACAGTTACTTTTACTAGTTTATCTCCAAAACTACAAGTAAACGTAACTATTACGTGTACACTGTACCACAAAATTCTTCTTTTTTACATAAAAAATTAGTAAAAAAGAATTTATTTTTTTAACTTTTTTAAGTGTTCTTATTTCTCAATTACAATTCTTGTTATATAATTTATGCTTTTTTCTTCTTTCAACCGTCAAATTATCATATATTGGAAAATTTTTAGCAGATAATTTTTTTTTTGGTTAATTGTTTGACATCTTCGGTCACTAATAAAGCACGTTGGGTCAAACACTTAGTGGGCACACTAGACGGTTAAGACTGAGGGGATGTTTATTTTCAAAATTTATTTTTTTTTAAATTTTTCTTTTCAAACATTTTTTTTCAATTTTTTTTTTCACGGCCAACGCCGGGTTCTTCAGCTAGTGGGTTAATATGTTCATTTTGATCAAGTAAAAATCCCTTTAAATACAAAAAAACATAAATATTGAAATACTACAAATTGCCTGGTCAGCTATCGAAACTGCATATTATCCATCCTGGGATGATCACAGCACAAGTAAAAATCCCTTTAAATACAAAAAAACATAAATATTGAAATACTACAAATTGCCTGGTCAGCTATCGAAACTGCATATTATCCATCCTGGGGGGGGGGGGATAAGCAGCTAATTTAAAGGAGCAAAACAGGACAGCCAGAAAACAAGAAGATTGCAAAGAAGGACAGCCAGAAAACAAGAAGATTGGAAAAATTATAATCTGCATTCTTCATTAAATACATGTATCAATAAATTTGTTTCATAAAAAATTTAAATAAATAATTGATAAAGTTAAAAATAAATAAAAACTTTACCTTTATTGCCTCCTCCTGGAAGTTAGTGTGTTTTTTCAAATACTCGATATCCTGCAAAATAGTTAGATCTTATGTTAGCCTTATTGTTTACTAATATTTATATTTAAATTACTGCAGAAAAATGTCAAAGGGGGGGGGTTCCTTTTTTGGGGAAAATTGGGTTATTTTAAGATAATCTTAGAAGCCGCCCACGTTGGTAAAATATCGGAGAAATTTTGTTGTATACATTTTTAACGAATATTTGTAAGAATTAAAAATTTATAATTCTGCTAAAAATTACAAAAAGAAAATTAGAGTTTTTCTTTTTCTTCGTTTTTAGGGATGAAAGAGTTAGAATTAACAACATAATTAAGAAGGGTAAATAATGAGATTAATGAGTTTCAAATACCATCATAAATGTGTTTAACAAGGAAAGGGACTGTGTTACCCAAAAAGGAGTTTGATGACGACCTTCAATTCCTTTAACTATGACAATCTGAAGGTTGATTTTTATCCCTTTACTAGAGTTTTTAGCGATATATCTTATAAGATGTAGAGAGAAACAAGATAATATCTGTAGACACTCATGAGTGGAAGAAATATATCATCTCTAAACCCTACATTTATGAATATGAGAAGAGGATGAGATTTTTCATATAACCTGTTTTGTCAGTTTTGTAGTGGGGCTCTTCTTGTTGGAATTTCCCATTTTTTAATCTCTGAAAATATACAATATACAATATAAAATATACAATATACAATATACAATATACAATATACAATATACAATATACAATATACAATATACAATATACAATATACAATATACAATATACAATATACAATATACAATTTACAATATACAATATGCAATATACAATATACAATATACAATATACAATATACAATATACAATATACAAAATACAATATACAATATACAATATACCATATACAATATACAATATACAATATACAATATACAATATACAATATACAATATACAATATACAATATACATAAAACAATATACAATACACAATATATAATAAACAATATACAATTTACAATATACAATATAAAGTATACAATATACAATACAATACAATGCAAATGAACAGTAAAGATCATTTAAAAATAACTGCTAAACCAGCTGATTAATTAAAATTATCTTAACCAAAACACGTAAATAATATCTCTTGTTTTTGTAGCAGCACACTGTAAAATATAAATTGTTTAATACTCAAACCTTTGAAACTAACAGATAAACTATATTTTTCCTTGAAATTTCGTAAAATCTTTTAAATATTTAAATTGGATTAAGTAAGTTTTGGACTGCGCTCATAGTATAAATTTCATAAGTTTGCTTTTATCAGGATTTGAAACCCAGCTTTGCCTAGCAACTAGATTTTCTCTATAAAAGTTAACTCACTAAACTTTTAAATCAAACCGAATTCCCTAATTTAAATGTGTGGCAAATCGGTCAGGGGGTTCCTGAGTTATGATCGGACATGCAAACAAACAAACAGAAATTTTTTTTGTGTTCGATCAAACTTCATAAACCCTATGACCGATTTGCCTAAAATTTTTATGGATAAAGTCGATAGAACCGTCGAAATATTATTTGTTTAAATATTTTAAGTAAAGTTAGTCGACTAGAATTCCAGCCAAAGCAGAGAACCCAAACTGTTTATTTACATGTAGGCAGTAGCAATATGTTTAACCATGTAGTTTCGTTCTTAGATTTTATCTCCTGTCCAAAATCGCCAAACATTTTTAAATTTTAGAGAGTTTAAAACTTGTTGTCAATATATAAGATATGATCCCAGCATTTATATTTTAGAACTTTATAGCCCTTGCGTTTAGCTTTACTATTTCGGAAACAATTGGAAAAATTCTCATTAATGTTTGCGTCAGAGGTTCTTGCAACTTCACTAAATGACTAATTGTGTTAAGAATAATGATATTTGAAAAATGCTAATTTTGAAAAATGATAAGTAATATATATTGTTATCAGTATCAGAATACACTGCAGGCAAGTGTCAACTGAGACTTCATATTTATTGATACTGCAGCTAAAGGATATTTGATATGCAGGGGACAACATTCACGGCGTAAACAGGGGGGGGCTGTAGGGGCTGAGCCCCACCTGGAAAATTGATTAATAGGATTTCAGCCCAGAACGGTTGTTGACTTTATGCCCCACCATGGACTGCTAAAAATCTAAGCCTTTCCCCCCCCCTTTCTGGTCAAATTCATACAAACACCTCTGAAGCAACATTATTAAATTTTATTATTATTATTATACAAAAGTGAACTTTGAATATTACATAGCGTTTGATAGATAAAAATGCTCGTAAAGAAAAGAAGAGAAAGATTTTGCTTCGTTTTCAAAACGATGCCGTTTTGTTAGTTTGTCAATGGAGTGCGAAAAATCAACGTTAAATGGTTTTGTGAGCTTGTCAAAGGAGTGCGAAAAATCAACGTTAAATGGTTTTGTTATCTTGTCAAAGGAGTGCGAAAAATCAACGTTAAATGGTTTTGTTAGTTTGTCAATGGAGTGCGAAAAATCAACGTTAAATGGTTTTGTTAGCTTGTCAAAGGAGTGCGAAAAATCAACGTTAAATGGTTTTGTTAGCTTGTCAATGGAGTGCGAAAAATCAACGTTAAATGGTTTTGTTAGCTTGTCAATGGAGTGCGAAAAATCAACGTTAAATGATTTTGTTAGTTTGTCAAAGGAGTGCGAAAAATCAACGTTAAATGGTTTAGAATATCAAATGTTAAGAAAATTTATACCTTTATTTAGTTAACATTCATAATAGTTAATATGTAATAAATACCGGAGCAAATCCCATATTTTTGTAGCTGAACACACCTAGATAAATTACGTTGTACATTTTCTGGAAATCTAAATGCGCTTGTAAATAACTACGCAAAACTTGTATGACGATTAATCTAATTACGATTGTAAATAACAGCTTAATTACTTTCTTGAAAGAAAGATATAGATTGGCTGAGTTGTATCCGGATTGATAATGATATTGACTATGGTATTCGTGATAAACCTTGAGTTCTAGATCGAGTTGTATCGAGAATACGGACTGAGTGGTACCCGGATTGATATTGACTATGGTAATACTGATGATACTAGTCGAAAAAGTATTTATTGGAGTAGGGCATTTACTACAAATGTGCTTTGCTTGTCTGCCCGTCTGCCCGTTTGTATCCAATTAACGTCAAGACTGCTAAACCGATAGGGCCCAAATTTTGTGTGGGACCTCACATGACCCCAGGGAAGGTTTATGAAGCCGAAAATTATAAAAATGTGTTTCCAAAAGTTTTAGATTTAGTAAAATTTTAAAAATGCACGAAAAAAATTATTAAATCCGCAAATATTTTTACTTTTAGTTTTATATTGTACTAAGAGCAGCTAGATGCTCACAGTCACAGATAGAGCCACAATTGAAAGTTGAAATAGAAGAATACCTAGTTTATTTAACATTTACTTTAATTGTTAAATCATAAATTGCATGTTTGATGCATTCTAAACAAGGGGCCGTTCACAAGAATNCTCTTAACTTTTTTTTCTGAATAGTTTTACAATAAAATATTTAAGAAAACCTATAGTCATAACCTTTTCATAGAAAAAAGATAAAAGATAAAAAGTTAAAAAGATAAAATGAAACTGTTTAATTTCCAGTTAATAAAGGAAAATGTCAAATAAAATTTTCTTTGCATTAAATTAGATTGAAAAGTTACCATTGTATGCAGTGCTGTAGAATTTATAAAAAATTCACTTAACTTCAAACCCTAATTTTTCTGATTTAATGTTCAGAAATTATTTATTTATCTACTTTTTTTCAGTCAGTGAGAATCCTTTTTATGTCCGACCACGTTCAGGTGCAAATTCAAGTCATTCAAGACATCGCTTTCGTAAGAAAAACTACCGTGTTTGCTTTTACATTTGTGGCTTGCGCAGATTTTGATTTAAGAAATCAGGAAACAAAAAGAGAATGTAAAGACTTCACATGAAAAAGTGTTTTTAAAACAAACATTGGAATCTACAAAACTAACCCATTCACGAAACCGGGTTTTCAATACTGGGTTTCATTACGATACTTGTTTCGGACATTGCAGGTATAGGTAGTTAAAGCTCTGAACACAGAATAAAGGTCTGCCTAGTACTGGTCTTTAACCCCCCCCCCCCCCCCCCCCCCCCANTGTTGTGCTTCCAGCACTTTATATACGTCACTAGTCCCTAGTCCGGGAACCATAGTTACTCCCGCCGTTGATCCGCACTTGGTCCAATTATACCGGGAAACTAAATTTTCGCTATAAAAGTCCGACCCACTCAACTTAAAATTGATCGTTTTCAGGACGTTTAGGATTTTTATTCTCTCAGGAGATTCCATAGAAGTTTGTCTATGTATGACTACTACTATATATATATGTAAAACTACTACTGTATCTATGTATGACTACCACTGTATCTATGTATGACTACTCTTGAATCTATGTATGACTACTACTGTGGATATGTATGACTACCACTGTATCTATGTATGACTACTCTTGAATCTATGTATGACTACTACTGTGGATATGTATGACTACTTCTGTGTCTATGTATGACTTATCCTGTATCTATGTATTACTACTACTGTATCTATGTATGACTACTCTTGAATCTATGTATGACTACTACTGTGGATATGTATGACTACTTCTGTGTATATGTATGACTTATCCTGTTTCTATGTATGACTACGCCTGTATCTATGTATGAATACTCCTGTATCTATGTAAGACTACTACTGTGGATATGTATGACTACTCCTGTATCTATGTATCACTATTCGTGTATCAATGTATTACTATTACTGTATCTATGTATGACTACTCATGTATCTATGTACGACTACTCCTAAATCTATGTATGACTACTACTGTATCTATGTATAACTACTACTGTATCTATGTATAACTACTCCTGAATCTATGTTTGACTACTCCTGTATCTACGTATGAATATACTGTGGATATGTATGAATACTACTGTGTCTATGTATCACTTCTCCTGTATCTATGTATCACACCTCCTGTATATATATGTAAGATTACTCCTGTATCTATGTATGACTACTCCTTTATCTAAGTTTGACTAATCTGTATCTATGTATCACTACTCCTGTAAATATGTATGACTTCTCCTGTACCTATGTATCACTACTCCTTTATCTATATATGACAACTCCTGTATCTATGTATCACTACCATTGTATCTATGTATCATTACTCCTGCATCTATGCATGACTATTACTCTATCTATATATGGCAACTCCTGTATCTATGTATGACTACTCCTTTATTTATGTATTACTACTACTGCGTCTATGTATGACTACTCATGTAACACTAATCCTGTATCTTGTTTGACTACTTCTGTATCAATGTATCACTAATTATGTATCTATGTATGACTACTCCGGTATTTATGTTTCACTACTCCTGTGTCTATATATAATTACTCCTGTATCTATGTATGACTACTCTGTATATATGAATCACTACTCCTGTGTCTATGTATCACTACTCCTGTATCTATGTATCACTACTCGTGTATCTATGTATGACTACTACTGTATATATGTATCACTGTTCCTGTATCTATGTATCACTGCTCCTGTATCTATGTATCACTAATACCGTATCTATGTATCACTACTCCCGTTTCTATGTATCACTACTCCTGTATCTATGTATCACTACTCCTGTATTATATGTATCACTACTCCAGTATCATATTTACCACTATTCCTGTATCCACGTATCACTACTCCTGTATCTATGAATGACTACTCCTGTATCAATGCATCATTAATCCTGTATCTATGTATCACTACTCGTGTATCTATGTATGACTACTACTGTATATATGTATTACTGTTCCTGTATCTATGTATCACTACTACCGTATCTATGTATCACTACTCCCGTTTCTATGTATCACTACTTCTGTATCCATGTATTACTACTTCTGTATCTATGTATCACTACTCCTGTATCTATGTATCACTACTCCCGTTTCTATGTATCACTACTCCTGTAACTATGTATCACTACTCCTGTATCTATGTATCACTACTCCAGTATCATATGTACCACTATTCCTGTATCCATGTATTACTACTCCTTTATCTTTGAATGACTACTCCTGTATCTATGTATCATTACTCCTTTATCTATGTATCACTACTGCTATATCCATGTATCACTACTCCTGTATTTATGTTTCACTGCTCTTGTATCTTTGTATCACTACTCATGTATCAATGTATCACAACCCCTGTATCTATGTATCATTACTCCTGTATCTATGTATGAATACTCCTGAATATATGTATCACTACTCCTGTATCTATGTATGACAACTCTGTATCTATTTATGACAACTCCTGTATCTATGTATCACTACTCCCGTATCTATGTATGACAACTCTGTATCTATTTATGACAACTCCTGTATCTATGTATCACTAGACTTCTCTTTGTCTATGTAAGAATACTCTGTATCTATGTATTACAACTCCTGGTATTTATGTATTACTACTGTATCTATGTATCGCTAGTCACTACTACCACTGTATCTATGTACGACTTCTTAGTGTCTATGACTGCCTGAAATAAAGTAACTACTGAGGCTCTAGTCTGGTCTATTAGATGCTTGCGTGCTATACTAGACTGCGGAGACAGGATAAATAAATAATAAACAGAGAGATCTAGGTATTCAGCACTAGAGTATATTCTTTACTAGGCTTTACGTTACAATTTTAACCTTAAACTGCTGTTTTTTAAACCTCCATTTTAAATTGTACTCCGAATTTTTTTATTTGTGGATCTTCATAAGTCATAAATATAGATATTTTTTTCAATACACAAGGAAAATGTATACTGGGCCGGCTTACGATATGTTCCAGGGGAGCGAAATATTTTAATTATTGCGAAATTTGTTTTTCACCCTTGAATTTTATACAGAAAATTTCGTCATTTTAATGTCAAATGTTAAAAACCATGACAAGCTGGGGATGGGCGAGGGAAAATGTGTAACCAAATTTTGAATTTTTATATTTTTAAAGAAAAAGCTTAATTTTGACTTTTGAGTGTTTTTTCTCTCTACTTACCCTATAATTTTTCCAGGGGGCGGTGTTCCCCTTTCCCCTTACCTCAAACCACCTTTTTATTTACAACTTTATAATATATTCTACAGGGTGTCCCACATCACATTAGATCGTCAATGGGTATGAATTACGTTTTCGGGACTGATCAGAAAATTTAAGAACAATGAATCATTTTGAAAAATTGAAAAGGCTAATACAAAAATTTTCTTGCGAAAAAGCTAGGTTTATCGAGTATTATTTGTTTATTTTGGAGCTAAAGCTTGAAGAGATAATCTAATATGATACGGGACGCTCTGTATAATATTATACAACATATCATATTAACCTACAGGGTGTCCCAATAAACATGGGAATTCAGTGACGAATTCGATATCGTCTTTTTTTTAAATTCTTTGATTTAGTATAGTGTTACCTACTGAGAAAGCTGTAATCCTTAAGAGTTTCGTCTGCTATGTTTACAAGTTATTTGTTTCTGTTTTGACTGCATACGGTTGTACTTAGTAAAACAAGAAAATTAATGTATACAGAGTAAACTTGTCCGTTTTCACTGTTCATCTTGCGGAGACATTATAGACACATCTTTACAGCCATTTACCGTTTTCATAGAATAAACTCTAGCAGACATAATAATATTATGGCTTTTGAAATTAGGTATTACAATGCTAATGTATAACAAAGGCGATATCGAATTCGTCACTGAATTCCCATGTTTTTTGGGACACCCTGTAGTTCGGAATTTCTTTTGAAATTGAAGGTATTTAAGTCCCAATCTGTTTTGAAATCTAACTTATAATTGGTCGATATTTTCACCCAAATTATTAAATTTAAAGGGTGTGTTCGCGAAAAATGAAAGAGGGTATAGGCTTAATGCGATAAAAAAGCGCTTTCATTTTTCGCGAGCACTCCCTTTAAGGACGGAATAATTTCGGACCACGAGCGAAATATATTTTTGATTCCTGGGACCAAGATTAATGAATTAGAGATCGCTTAACTACCTGCCGCCGGTTTAAATCCTTAATCACTGATTCAAAGTTAACATTCTGGTAATTATTTGGAGAGTGAATCGGTGATTCAGAGTTTGAACCAGCGGTAGTTAGTTCAGCGATTTTTCGCAACTCATTATCAAGTTCCTGCACTGAAGAATAATATCCACCCAAAAGTTTCCACTCAGTTTTTTTCTAATATCAGAAAAGAACGGCAGTGTTGATATCCATTTAGATAACATAAACTTCTATTTTATTTTAACGGTTGCTCATGTGAGTTGCCACAAAAAAACATGGACCCGATAGGTATAGCCGTTTCGATGTTTTATGGATACATACAATTACAAACAGACAGACAGACAGACCAAATTCAAATATATATGCTTTGAAATATAAATCACATAAAGACACAAGAGAAATGTTCTAATTACATAGGATTTATTCCAAATTTTAGTTTACATGTATGTCCAACAATTTTGACAATTTAACAATTACATGAAATTTAGTTTTGTATTTCTAAATTTAACATGTTATTTGAATATTCAAATAAACTTTTACTGAACTAGTAATTATCTAAATTTATAAAATTATCGAAAGTATTTTGGTTGCAGATTATCTTGTATTTTGGTTGCATATTATCTTATTTGTGGTAATCAGAGAAGCCTGGAATGAAATTATACTGTAAGGTTCAGACCTCCATTGTTTAGTTTTATATTGCACTTATTTGACTGTTATTCAAGGTTGTATAATAAGGTTGGTTACTCTCGATGTACTCTAATGGACAGAAAATGTCGTCTCCTATGATAGAACGATAAAAACCTCAAATTAGTTCACTCTCGTCTCTATAATCAGTGCCTTCGTATGAGGTTTCATCCATCTATGTTAGGAGACGAAATTTTCCGAATTGGAGCACATCGAGAGTAACCAACCTTATTATACAACCTTGCTCTCATCAAACATGATAAAAATCTGATGAGTTGAATTCAAGGGTTTAATGCAAGCTTCTCAAACAGTATATTTTCTTTTCCTTTGTTTAACAGTCATTATTTTCAGTTGAGCATTAGTTAAGGTCACATCACACCATTACTAGAAAAAATAAAATATCTTTCACATACTGCAAAATGGTGGTTCAAAGGAAAAAAAAGAAAATCTCATAATAGAAAATCAAATGACTCGTAAAAAAAATTCCAAGGTACTTGTTAATAATTATCAACCAGCTGCATAATATTTTGGCTAGTAATCATGCTACCAATATGGTTAGAACTAAGCCTGGCGGAGAGTGTATGTTTATATTAAGACTGCTCAGAAACCGGTTTATTTTAAATAAACCGGGTATCCTAGTATACCCAGGAATATTAAGAACGTTTGTAAATATTCTTTGTTATAGTTTGCATAGTTACAAACAGTCCTAATACATCACAATAAATATATTTTCCCCAATCAGATTTTGAAACAGATGAGTTAAAGGGACTAATAGTTGTAATTTTAAGTGACCCTTCATTTTTTGTCGGGCATGTCCGATTCACAACAGTACCTTTAAACCTTTGATCTGATCAATTATGTGAACAGCATGGTTTATTCCTAGTTTAAAACTTTGATCTGATCAATTATGTGAATAACATGGTTTATTCCTAGTTTAGAACTTTGATCTGATCAATTATGTGAATAACATGGTTTATTCCTAGTTTAAAACTTTGATCTGATCAATTATGTGAAACTTTGATCTGATCAATTATGTGAATAACATGGTTTATTCCTAGTTTAGAACTTTGATCTGATCAATTATGTGAATAACATGGTTTCTTCCTAGTTTAAAACGTATCCATTCATTTTTGCATTATTTCCTAAGCAAAAACATACACGACTCTTTTTTTGTAGATTAATCAAAATTAAATATAATCAGTGATTAAGAACAAAGGCTATATATATCTAATTCCGCTCTTGTCAATGAAAACTGAAGAGTCAGTTCAAATTTAGATTCTATTCCCTTTAAGGTAGTTTATACTAGTGTACATGGTACACAATCTAGAGACTTTGTACGGACAATTAGGCAATCAGCCAAAACCTTAATTCAATCAGAATCTGACTCAAAAAGGCATAGCATAGAAGTTTCATTTACTAAATAAGGCTAAATAAGGCTACTATTAATTAGGCCACTGTATGAATCTTAAGTTTGCATATTTTGATTTGTATCTTCATGATCATTCAGTCCATGTTAACGTAGAAAAAAGTATAGAAATTACTTTAGCATTAATTTTATCCAAATTGCATATTTCCGTTAAAAAAAATACACTCAATTTTTCGGGAATATATTAACACTATTACTATTCTGTATTTATTCTTGCAGGATATTTAGGAATTGTCATTAATTTAGGAACATTATTATAATAAGATAAACTCTGTTTTCAATATTGTGTTGTAATTTAATTATGAATTCATTAATATAATGGATAAAATACTGAAAAAGAAAGCTTTGTTAGGAATTTAAATTCGTGTTTCCAAAATTTGTCATGCCTTTGCTATAGTAAGACACTTTTAATGATTGATTATTTCAATAGTTTAGAGTTGATCTTATTATTTAGCTAATATGTCCCAGATAATTCCTACATTGATCCATTATCATTGAAAGAATCCATGTTGGATTATAAACGCATTCATATTCCCATCCTCTATGTGGATTCAATACCATGGGATCATTTATAAGATTAGGCTGTTGCGGAGGAGGAGGAGGAGGGTTTAAGGGTTGATTAGGAGCAGGATGATGGTGTACAGGATGGGTTTGTACAGGATTGTACATGTGATGAACTCCTATTGGATTGACACCATGTTGTTGATGAATGGGATGATGATTGATAAGCTGTTGAGCAGGTGGGAGGGGTTGATGTGGAGGATTAGGTTGAGGAGGAGGAGGATACGGATGGTAATGATATTGAACAGGTTGAGGTTGATGATGAACCCACTGATTACGCCTAAGATCTCTGAGAGCCCTCTCCTCCTCTATCCTGGCTAGCCTCTGGTGAGCTCTACCAGCCTCACGTATTCTATAGATCTCACCCATCCTCGCCATCATACCCATTAACTCAGGTTGGACCATTAATCCTCCGTAATGTCCTCCTACTCCACCTGCTGGTATACCTGGGAAGGGATCCTTCATCTTGATAGTAGTTGGATCAGGAATACCCTTGGTTGGGTTTACACTATCCCTTAGTGTAATATTATTCTCTGCAAGTTCCTCTCGTGCCTCTTGAGCTGCTAAAGCAATCTCCTTCTCATGTAGAGATTTAGAATCACTCCAGAGGGGACACTTCTTTTCTTTACCAGGGGTACCTCCCTGTCCATAGAAGTGTTCGTAACCCTAGAATATAGAACATAATCAAACTACTTCTTGAAGATAACATTTTATTCAATCAACCCAATCAAATCAGTATGTTTTTTAATCAACTTTCATACAGTTAAATACAGAACTTCAGAGACATCTAAAGAATTACAAAATGTCGTCTCAATTTTTTAAAAGTGACAATTTTTTGGCAGTTTTTAGAACTCCATATAATTATTCAATTACAAAACTAAATATCTGCACTCTGCAATATTTCATTAACATTGCATTCAATAATAACTGAAATGTTCAAATCATGACTAAAAATGAAAAAATCCCCCGGAAGGGGTAAATATTTTCCTAAATAACAATTTGTCCCCACAAAGTCAGGAATGTTTTTGAAAAGGTTTATAAAACTAAAGTAAGGAAAAGACAAGTGAATACATTTTTTTTGTAATGAAAAAATAACCAGCATAAGTCCAAATTTGCACCCCCCCCCCCCTCAATGATCAATATTGAAGGTTTCTACCTGAACTGGTTCTTTACAGAGATAACACATTTTAGCTCCACAACCTTTCTTCGGACATGTCATCTTATTGCATCCTTCTTCTTTAAAATATTTAGTCTTGCATTTATGGCACTCCCTGGAAAACACACAGATTATAATAACCAATAATGGTGGATAAAGTCTAACTGCTTCATAATTAATTTCAGGGGGTAGCTTAATTTTGTTAAAGAAACCCCAGAGAGAAAAACATAAATTAAATTTAGATCAAACTTGTTTTTAAAAGATGAAAAACAATTGCTCCGCATTTCCCCCGATATATAAAGTGTTTAAGACAATTTATACCATGCAGCCCCAGAGCAGAAAAAACAATGAAAATATTATATTATTCTGTGCTGTGTTCCTAATCATTGCTTGAGAAAGTTTTTCTTCTATTTTCTTTCGTTGAGTCTCTTCGTCCCTACTTTCCACCTCCTCACACCTAAACAAACATTTTTTATTTCAATTTTTAATTTTGGCTCTATCTGTGAGCATCTTCTCTTTGTAAAATATAAAACAATAACAAAAAAAGTTCGCAGATTAAATAATATTGTTTCGCGCATTTTCAAAATTTAACAAAAAACTAAATTTTTTGAACACAAATTTTCGTATTTTTTAGCAACCATAAACCTTCCCTGGGGTCATGTGAGGTCCCACACAATATTTGGACTCAATCGAACCGATTTGACGTATATTGGGTACAAACAGACAAGCAAAGTATTTATAAAGATAACAATTTATTTATAAGTTGTAACTGCTAATATAACAAAATAACATTTGTTTCCTGTCTCATCAGAGATGAATTCTTTTTTCTTTCTAAAGATGATTATTTTTAATTGGGGTCTCTCCTTTTCAGTGGCTTGCGAACTTACGTTAAAGAGACAATGAGGAATTGTCAGAATGACATTTTTTCCAGGTAAAGGTTCATAAAGGCACCTTTATTAATAAGTAAGTATGTGAAAACCGGTTTATTGTAGTTCCAGGGTGTATATTTTTAAAACGGGGGATGATGTTTTTTTCTTATTTTCCCCATTTCAAACATACCTGACCTGAGCTCTGGGAGGTAAAACTAACTTTTAAAGTATGGGGGGGGGGAATAATTAAAAAAAACATACACCACTGTTTTCTTGTTACCTGAGGGGAACATGGTTTGGTTCTTTACACAATCTACAGGATTCACGTCCGCAGTCAGGGTTCTTACACACCAATATCTGATACAATCATGCAATCAAATATTCAGTTCAAATAGTTGAATCATTAACTAACATCACTTAAGCAGTTTTAATATTCAAATAATTAATCCAACATCAATTAAGCAGTTTTAATATTCAAATAATTAAACCAGCATCAATTAAGCAGTTTTAATATTCAAATAACAGCTAAAATAATAAGCTCAAATAAACAATAAATCAGTGGTGGGAACTTGTATTGTGAATATCGAGATCAATGCTTGATCTAGATATTTTGTTAATCTATAGATTAATTCTATCTTTACTCGGTATCCGCAGTGAAATTGTACCGTGGGGATAACTGAAATTAAGAAGCATTGATCCTCAAATTAAAAGTGCCCAGAGAGGATATCGAGATTAACACATCGGGATAATAAGTATCAACCTCAGCTGAGATAAATCTAGAAAATGAGTAGACAACATGAATCCAACCTTATCGTTTACGTCATCCATTATTGTCATGTAAGGGCAGAACGGACAGGTCACTATTCCCTCCAATCCTACAATATATATTTACATAAAACCAAACGTTCTGGGACTTTCCTCTACATTCTTGCAATTAAGTAACTGTGCTAAAGCATAACAAAAATATGGTCTTAAAAATAGCATATATATTTTTTGGTGGGGGGGGTAACGACACTTATTTATTAAAATTTCTGCTTACAAAAATTAAAGGTCTGTTAATATAATTAAGTGTAACCTGCAGTGGCAACCTCTGCCGCTTGTCTTTTCTGTAGAAGTTTCGAGAGAACATTAGGAGTTAGAGCTCTTTGTAGTTCCTGCCAGCTTATCTCTTCACTAAAATTATTATTATTATTATTACTATTATTATTATTCAACCTACAGTATCAGTTAGAGCTCGTTGTAGTTCCTGCCAGCTTATCTCTTCACTACAACTATTATTATTATTATTACTATTATTATTCAACCTACAGTATCAGTTAAAGTATCATGTCCCGTAGGAAATTTTTTTATTTTCTTTCAAAATAATTTATTTTCTCACTTAAACCGATCCTCATTAAAATATTTCTTTTTCTGATAAAAAATTAATTATTTTTTGAAAAAGATTCTCGTTAGGGGTACTTTTCAAAAACAAAAAAGGTTTTCAAACAAGCAGGGTTAACGCCCTATTTTCATTTTTACCTCAAAGCTTTTTAAAATAAATGAATAAAAATTAGTTAAATTATATTTTGTTTGAAAATTATGGAGAACACCCTTTACCAAGATAATAAAGAAATAAGATAAGATAAGGGTTGGTTCTACAATGGGGATATTTTCATGATCAAAACATAATTTAATTTTATTTAATAAATTGTAAAATATTTATTAACTATAAATTTCTCACCTACACATTCCAAGGCATTCAATTATAGTTTTACCATCTCCTATAGCAACACTAGCACCCCGGGATACACATTCCTAAACATACAAATATTTACAATCCGCAGTCCACAAGGCTTCTCAAAGGGGATGGTGGAGTTGGCACATTTGATGTAGGGGGGGGGGNGGATTAGCAGTATCTCGTACAAAAGTACCGACCTGCACCCAAGGAGTATGGAATAGAAGAGAGATACAAGTGACGCGGCTCGCCCAACCATATGATTATGCATGCTTTGCAGAAGGGTAATCAATTTGTATAAGAAATATTCAGAATAGGTTATTGTATACGTGGTAATTTACATCAGACCAATATTTCTTATTCAAATGAAGTACCGTCTGCAAAGCATGTATAATCATATTGTAGGGCGGGTCGCGTCAGTTCTATCTCCCTTCTATTTCATACTCCTCGGAAAATACAGAGTGGTTATAATTTCAAGAGAATATTTTACACTTAAACAAAAGTAATATTTTGACTGAGTTCCGAAAAATATCGCTTGCTAATCTAGTTTTTCATCAATCTTAATAGTTTATTTCATCTTAGATGTTATACTTATTTAGTTGAAACTTGAAGTGGGTATTTACCTTACAGAACATATGGTTATTGTTGCAGGAGATCATATCTTCATCCAGACATTCGTCGGAGTAGCAGCAACTACATTCTACCAGAATACCAGCTGTTCTAGCCTCCTATACACATTACACAATATTGTGCCTAACAAATTAATATAGATTTTTTTTCAATGTAAATTTTTACTTGCTTTTCCTAACCTTTCCTGGGTTTTCATTAAAAAATAAATAGAATACCCCGTGGGCCCAGCTACGGCAATCTTTAAGCTAAGAGATGTCCCTATTAAGAAATAATGATCGTTCATTAATTAATTCTACTATTATAATTAGAAGACAGCCTATCATTTAATAAAATAGAAATGGAAGCTCTTAGCGACCGAAGTGTTAAATAGACATTAAACATCACGTTAGTAGAAAAACCGAGTAATAATTTCCAAAATTGAAATATTTAAAAATCGAATCATCTCATTTATGGAGACACCATATTCCCGTACTTGTTGTGAATTTTCAGAAATGAACCCCCTGCTAGCTTTGTCTGCATGCAATGGTTAAACTAACCTCAATCATCTCGAGCCTCCTCTCCTCCCTGTTCTTGAGCTCGACCTTGATCATTTCCTCCAACTCGACGAACTTCTTCTCCTTGAGGAGATGGATACAGGGGGGACCTGCCACGTGACGAACTTCATGATCAGACCGTTTAGTTTTCCTAAACATGATAAAATAACCGTATTTTCGTGAAAACCCAAGAAATTGTTAATAAGTACATTATGGTACAGTACGGTACAATACAGTACAGTACAGTACAGAACAGTACAGTACAGTACAGTACAGTACAGGACAGTACAGTACAGTACAGTACAGTACAGTACAGTACAGTACAGTACAGTACAGTACAGTACAGTATCAGAGTAATTTTTAAAATTACACTCCCTCTGGTACAGTACAGTACAGTAAAGAACAGTACAGTACGGTACAGTACAGTACGGTACAGTACAGTACAGTACAGTACAGTACAGTACAGTACAGTACAGTACAGTACAGTACAGTACAGCAGTTTGTTTTTGCTTACCTAGAATTGGGCCTGTTCTTAAGTATCTTATATGTGAGGGCAAACAGTCCTTTACCCTGGCGTAGAGCTTTCTCAACATCCGCGTTAGAATGGTATCTGTATAGAATGGTATCTGTATAGAATGGTATCTGTATAGAATGGTATCTGTATAGAATGGTATCTGTATAGAATGGTATCTGTATAGAATGGTATCTGTATAGAATGGTATCTGTATAGAATGGTATCTGTATAGAATGGTATCTGTATAGAATGGTATCTGTATAGAATGGTATCTGTATAGAATGGTATCTGTATAGAATGGTATCTGTATAGAATGGTATCTGTATAGAATGGTATCTGTATAGAATGGTATCTGTATAGAATGGTATCTGTATAGAATGGTATCTGTATAGAATGGTATCTGTATAAACATAAATTCTGTTAAAAACTATTTTTCATGGTTATTAGTTTTGTTAAGAAGGCAATTTAAACAGGACTAAGATAATACTCTAATTCCAAAACATTAGAAATCATTTTAAAAAACAATTTATAATTCCGATTTTAAAAATGTTTTTTTAGTACATAATAATTTTTTATTTCTGTTCCCTGTTTGTGACCTGTAAAGTGTATACCTGAAAGCTTCCTTGAGTGCAACGACACACTGTTGTTTATATCCTTCATCCTTCATCTCCCTTGAGGGATCCGTGAAGTAGGCTACAGGGTCTTGAAATAAATCAAGCATATCCTTAAATAAGAATTATTATAAAAAGGGATTATTAACTACAAGTAGGCTACAGGGTCTTGAAATAAATCAAGCATATCCTTTAATAAGAATTATTATAAAAAGGGATTATTAACTACAAGTAGGCTACAGGGTCTTGAAATAAATCAAGCATATCCTTTAATAAGAATTATTATAAAAAGGGATTATTAATTACAAACACATAAAAGATATAATGGAAAAATATCTTATCCAATAGTTTTCTTTGATAAATATCTAAAAGCTAAGGACTGAGGTTTAAGATTTTTTTTCTGTTTCTCCGGACTAGATTTAGACATTCCTTATCCTGTTTCCTAATGTGAAATCTAGTGAAGATTTCTACACATTCTGACACTAAAGAGCAGACTATAAAATAAATATCCTAAACTGAATATTTTAAAAGTTTTGTTGAGATTTTAAACCTTGTTTACAAGTTTTGTCCAAATATACATGAGAATATATATTTCCTACCGAAACTGTCATCTGTCCAGACCACTTCTCTAGTTCCTTCATCTCCCTCTGCTTTTTCTCCCAGTCCTAAACAGATTATTATTATGTATTTTAGTAGTAAATGGAGACGTTACGTCGAACAAGATTATAAATCAATTTAACTTAAAGGGACTGTACGCGTGATTTCCCGTGACCCTCATTGCAAAGATGTTAATGCCTGATTTACGATGGTAACCTTGAAACCTTAATCTGATCAAACAAGTGGAAGATATTGTCGTTTTCCTGACTCGGAAAAGTATTTATTTCTGTTAATTTCTCCATTGCTTCATACAAACAATGGAGAATCTCAATTGAAATGAAATGGATTTTTTTTAAAAGATCCGAGTCGAATATTGCAACTATTTGAATTTGTATGGACGCTTCGTTCTCCGGGATGAGCCGTTCTTGACAATTTTCTCCTTATCGACGCAAATAATAGAAGTAAGATTAGTAGCAATCACCATCGAATATTTTTCGACGTAAGCCTATACCCCTTTTATTATTTCGCGAACACTCCCTTTAAGTATACCTTGTATGTTGGTAGAGATTTCCTTTCTTCCGCCGGTAAACTGAATATTGCTTCAACCTAAACAAAACATTTATGTAAATAATTATCTTAATTTTTTAAATTCAAGAAAATCATGTTGCAGTATAACTCCAGTACAAAAGAGTTCTAATTCAAAAACATTAAGATTTCATAAGAAGCAGGTAACCCCCGAAAATGTTGAATAAGATCTAGGGCTAATATATATCGCCTGATATCTTCTATAACGAAAACACGTTGGACTGCTTAGTCAGACTCGCTTTAAAGCTGAAAACGAATTTTTGTAGATTCGGTTGTTTCCAACTGACGAAACTCTATTTGATTAAATTCTGCGGTCCGTCGAAATTAAATTACCTTACGCCATCAAACCGTTTAAGTTTTAGAACTGACAACCTACATTGAAACAGCCAGTAAAACCACCAAAAAAAGAGAAAACCTCACAAATTACTAATTACCATTTTATCATATAGGCTTCGAGCAGTATTCTTAACTGTAACTGTTATTAACTTTATCTGTATTTACCTTAGTTTGAAATAATCTATGAAGCTCTTGAATATCTTTAATTTCAGATCTAACTATCTGAACATTATTCATCATTAATAAAAAACTAATGTCAAGACTTCTATTTCGCAATTTAGTTTCGAAACAGGCTACAATGAGGATGTACATTTTTAAAGAAATCATCAGAAAAAATTTTGCAAGTTAGGAACTCAGTTGTTAGGCACATAATTTTAACCAGAATGTGATGATTCCTATGGTGTACCTATTTATTTATTTTTGCATTTTCTAACAGAGCATAAATGAATTAAGGTATTTATAGTAAATCAACTTTCTATCTTTGAAAAACAATGTATAGGATGAATCCGATGTTATTGTTGTAATGATAAATATTCCTGATATATTTGATCTTGAATCCAGGCTGGACAAAGATCAGGGAACAAGGAACGCATCCCTGTCATCATCTCCTTCTCTAGTTCCTCCTGGGGATCCACCTCAACCTCACCGAGGTCTAAACAACACAGTGACAGATTATATTATTATACTAGCTTCAGAACCCAGCGTTACCCAGGGTACTCATAGTTAATCCTCCGTTTACCCGCACTTGGTCGTACATTACGATTTTAGCTATTTTTCCATTTAACTTAGAATCTTAAAAAGAAAGCCAAAAAGATTACCGTGGTTCTCCCGAGTACCCCAATCAAAATCCAAGGGATGATCGGTCATACAACCAAACAGACAAACAGTATACAGTTGGACCCATAAAACTCTGGAATTTGAAGACGATTCTTTAAAAGTACAATTAACGTGAACAAATAGCAAATTACTCATTTCATTTCATAAATTGAGTTTAAGCAACTGGCCTTTTTGCTTTTTAACAACATACACACATCAGATTGATAATTTGAGGTCTTAATATTCCACCGTTTTATAAATCACATTTTATATTTTCTTGGGGACTCATTTTTATCCTTGACTCCTTCGTTTTCCCTCAAGTCAATCAAAATGTTTGATTTCTCACCGAAATAGGAAAAAGATAATTTTACGGTAAAATAAACGAGGGTGGATATAATTTACCAAAACCATGAAAAAACTTGCTCGATGATGTCTAGATTCCAATCTTCAAAAATCGATAGAAAAATGAACAGGAGACTGGGCCCCTGACTCACCTTCGGAAGGGGTAGGGTTCCTAGATCTATCCTGCACTGGAGTCTGAGCTCTGGAACCTCCCTCTGAAGGAGTTTGGGACCTGGAACCACCCTCAGAAGGAGTTTGGGACCTGGAACCACCTTCGGAAGGAGTTCGCATCCAGGATCCACTTTGCACAGGAGTTTGGGCCCGGGAACCAATCTCATTCTTTATCTTGGAAATGCCAGGCAGATGTATTTCTTCCATGTCGTCTGTATGGACCGGAGGGGTCGAAGGCTTGATGTCTCTCTGCTGTATAAAAAGCTGGGGAGGAGGTGGAGGAGGAGGTGGTGGTGTTTGTACCTGTAAATCAACATTCTAGATTATATAACATAGATCAGACTTCTGCTAATATAATTCAATACTCCAGTACTAAACGGGATTATCTTTGGAAATTTACAACGGTGTCCTTTGAGCTTTTCTCTGATTAACAGTGTGAAAGATATCATCGCTTTTCTAGCTTCAAAACTGTTTTCTGAGTTTCCTCTATTGCTTCTCAGTCAGAAATAAAATTGCCATTTTCAGGAAACATTCTTTTTACTATGCACTTTGCATTGTGTCCAAGGGCAAAAGATCAACCAAAAACTACAACAAAAAATCTTTTGCTCTCAAAACTCAAATTTGAACTCTTGAAAAAAAGATAATTAAAAGTGAAAAAAGCAAAGAAATTAATTCAGAAATTTCTTTTCTGTTTGAAGAAAATTAGTAAATCTTAAATGAATGTTCATGACCTGGATACGAATCTGCATCAAAATTAAATGGATCTTAAGCACTGCTGTGCACTTAAGACTAAGAAAGCTAATAAATATATACCTGGTGAAGAGGTATAGAATATATTTGTCTCCAGTTTACTGGTGGATTAGGATCCTGGATTAACTCCATAGTAAACCTATCCAGGGCTGCAGGTTTACCCACCAGATCCTCAGCTCTATGAATAGTAGGATTAGGAAGGATATATTAAAGGTACTAAGGTACTATGCAAAGATAGCTTTGTCCGATTTACCACGATAACCTTGAAACCTTTATCTGATCTAACAAGGAATACTGCTTAGGAGGGCATTTATTTATCGAATCAATGGAATACAGACCAGCTGAACAACTTTTTTACAAATGTCAAGATATTTAAGACAGGACTCGAGAAAATAACATTTAAAACACTTTTCCGTACAGAACCAACACGAAATTAGCCTTCAAGTGAATATTCCAATAATGTGGAAGATATTGCAGTTTAAATCTATGTTTTTAAGCTTTTAATCTTGACGACTTCACTATATTTTCCTGCAATGCCCAACTTGAACGAAACCACAATTATAAACATTGATATATAATCTTGATCAAACAAAGGTTTAGAGGGGACAATTGTGAATCAGGCATTGTCATCTTTGCATGAAGTTTCACTTTAAATTACGATTATAGGCCCTTAAACATAGTAAAACTAACATACTTCAACTGTTTTAAAAATATTCTTATTAGTCGCACAGTTTTATAAATATTTGATATTTGCATTTTCGGCGTCGAAATCCACAAATAGAAAACCTACAAAATATTTAATTGTTCGTTTTTATAACTATGTAAGACAAAGAAAAATGGTTGCAGGTTAGGCAACTTTTAAAATGAATGATAAAAAGGAATGAGGGCACGATCGCCTCGAGTTCTAAAAATAATTGTAACAGGAAAATTGTAAGCAATTGATGATAGAACTAAACATTTCTGTAATTGTAATAATATTACCTGAGACGAATATATGAAGGGTCTGTTTCTTGAAACATCTCACAAAGGTTTCCTACGAGATCATCTATCTCCTAGACAATAGATATAATCCAATTTGACCTGTGTCGTGTCAAACAATTAAAGTGTTGCTAGAGTTCTTCTATTACATTTTCCTAGAGGGGAAATAAGAAGACAACGCGAGGGAGGAAAAGTAAGATAGCAGCAAAATACATGCATCTTTATAAAAAGGAAGAAGAAAACATTTTTTTTTTTTGAGAAAAAGGGACTCCCACTTCTACTTTTAATGTAACCCCCCTCTCTCATACCATCTGTCTTATTAGCAATCCTCCTTACACATTCTATCTAACCCCCCCCCCCCCATACTTTGGCCCCAAAAGACCCTCTCCCACCTCCCTCTCCCTCGCATTCTAGCTAAAAATTGACTTAGCTAAAAATTGACTTATCTCCCTCGCATTCTAGCTAAAAATTGACTTATCTAAAAATTGACTTATCTCCCTCGCATTCTAGCTAAAAATTGACTTAGCTAAAAATTGACTTATCTCCCTCGCATTCTAGCTAAAAATTGACTTCTCTCCCTCGCATTCTAGCTAAAAATTGACTTCTCTCTCTCGTATTCTAGCTAAATATTAACTTCTCTCCCTCGCATTCAAGCTAAAAAATTGACTTCTCTCCCTCGCATTCTAGCTAAAAATTGACTTCTATTCCTCACAGTTTAGATAAAAAGTGACCTCCCTCCCTAGCATTCTAGCTAAAAAGTTCCCCCACTTCCTCGCATTTTGGTTAAAAAGTGCTCCCTCTCCCTCGGATTCTGGATAAAAAGTGTCCCACACTTCCTCACATTCTGGCTGAAAAATGCTAAATCTCCCTTGCATTCTGGCTAAAAAGTTCCCCAACTTCCTCACATTCTGGCTAATAAGTGCCCACCTCCCCTTATATTATTAATTAAGTTGCTGACCTTGTTAGAAATAGCAGCTGGAGCAGCTATAAGAGCTGGAGCGGCTGGAGGAGCTGGAGTTGGAGCAGCTAGAACTGGAGGAGCTGGAGGTATTGGAGATAAAACCAAAACTTCAGGAATATCAGGTGCAGCCAATACAACAGGTTTAATGTCCTCTTCGATGATTTCCACTGAATTGGTCTTCGCAACTTTGGCAGGTTTGCGGCCTTAAAAATATGTAAATTCAGTATATTACAGAAAGACTAATTTATTTTGTTATTTCTGGCTATTAACTTAACAGTATCAAAGAAAGAGAAAAAAAAACAAGTTGAAGTTCAATTGTTCCAAGTGAACCCCCTTGCAATCTGCAGAGAAAAAAAAACCAAGTTTAAGTTCAATTGTTCATGTCAACCCCCCCTGCAGTCTGCATCTTTATTCGTGCTTTTTTCATATTCGTGATTTGCTATTAAGGAAATGAAAAAGGCTGAAGCCGTTATTGAAGATTGTAAAATATAAATACAATAGGCTATTACGCCCATCTTCTAAACAAAAATCAAAAACTTTTGGACACAAATTTTTGTAATCTTAAGCATTCATAAACCTTTCATGGGGTCATGTGAGGTCTCAAACAAAATTTGGACCCAATCGGCTTGGCCGTTTTAACGATTATTGGATACAAATGGGCAGACAAACAAACAGACACGCAGACAAGCAAAGTATATGTAATATGAATAGATATGCAAGGAAAATGTAACCTGCTTGCATGACAACAGTGATGAGTTCGTCTCTAAGATTAGAAGATGTTTTCTCCTTTTTGACACCAGGTGCTCTATGTGCCTTGAAGTTGAATGGACCATGAAGCATATGCTCCTCAAGATCTCCAGCCTTACGTTTAACAGCTCTACGTTCTGTGGACTTACGAGTCTTTTCCTAGAAATAAGAGAAGTGCAACTTTGGATTTTGACAACTGCCCTGTACCTACTGTACACTGTACAGTGTACACTGTACATATTCTTTTTAATATTTTAGAAAGGCAAAAAAAATTGTTGCTAAATATAGACTTAATGCATCAATATTATCACCCCGCCGTTTGAAAATGTTAAGAAGTATATCCAACCCACCATTTATATTTACTTCGGCGTATTACAATTACAGGCGTTGTAAAAATATATTCTAATATTTCGAAGATATAAAGATTTTTGTTGTTAATTCATTAAAATCCAGAAATAACAAACAAAAGTTTAGATTTTCACACGAGTTATCAAATCCTAGATTAAAAATGCCTACCTTCTTTGGTTTAATAAGAGTATTTTGGTTTAGTTGAGGTGGTTTCTCCTGAGGTTTCTCCGGTAGTTCATCTGGTATATCCGGAGATATAGCTTGGGAACCATAACTCCTCTCACTAGAACTAGACCCAGAGGATATTGTGAAGGAAGGACTAAAACCTGAAAATTGAAATTTTACCACGTGCTTAGGATCCGCCATACAAAATGGATCCGGATCCAGGTCATGAACATTTCTTATTTTGCTAATAGTTGTTGAAATAAAATTTTTAAAAATCTTTTATTTCTTTTCAGGGCAAAAAGTATTTTATCAGTTTTTGGTTGATATTAGGCCCCCTTGCAGATTTGGATCCAGGAAGTCAATATGTGGCAGATCCAACGGATCCGGATCCGAAGCACTGATTAAATTCTCAAAAATTAATTATAATTAAATTTAAAAAAAAAACGATTTAAATCTCGTTTTTCGACATTACCGTTAGCATTTTTTTGTTAGTAATTCAAACTATTAAAATTTTTGTTTTTACATGTTTTTAATCATAAGAATACGTTTAATTTGTAGTTTAAGTTTACACAGGGGGGGGGGGTCTACTCAAGACTTAAAGAGAAAATGTAAGACTTAAACCGGAAAATACAGAAAGACTTAAGCATTACTGCTTTAGAAACAAAGTTCCACAATATACAATATTGATGAGAAAGCAGTCCAAGGGATACCGGGCATTAAGCCTCTTTAAATTGAAGGTCACTTAAAACTATAACTACAGTCCCATTAGCAGAATGTATTAATCAGAATATAAAGTGAGATAGAGAACCTGTTTGCTCCGGTAGAACTTCTGGAAGAATTTGATTAAGGTGTGGATCTGGTAGTTCATCAGGGGTTCCAGGATCATCTCTCTCATTGCTCATGCCTGCAAATATACAAATATTTTTATCCCGCATTTTGTAATCTAGGAGATTGTTAAATACGCGTCTTGTTTGTTCCGAGACAAAATATAAACATTTCATTTAGTATCTATTTCTGAATAAATAGAGATACAAAATGAATGTCAATGACCTCAAATCCCATATTCTTCTTCTTGATCTGAGTAGATTGGATGTCATTGACCACGATTGGAGGCTGCATGCCAAATTTCACCCCTATATCTCAATGTTTAAGACCAAGCATAACAAGCCCAAAATTTGGTGTCAAATCATATTAATTTGTTGGAAGAGAACTTCAATGTGGAATCCTAAAACCGCCATGAGATGTACCACGTTCGTCCTCTGTATTAACCGCCCTGTCATATAGTGTATTTGCATCAATTCCAATAAAAATTACCTGAACTCTTTTTCACAAATCTTCCGCAGTTTTTGCTTTTCTTTCCTTTCACCCCTTTTCCTTTGCCTAAACAGGAAAAGTGAAAACAATCTTAATAATTTACTTAATAAAAATGTAAAAGATTGATTCTTAGACAAGTTAGACCTAAAAAATAATAATAATAATAAGATCTGAAAGGGAACCAGGTATGCATTATGCAACCTTCAGACCGGCCCCCCCAGAGTCGTAGTCCGGGGAGGGAGGCTATGGGGCTAAGCCCCCCTTGTCCAGTGAAATCTATAGATTTCAGGGGGTTTTCAGGCCCCAACGGGTGTTTCCTGAAAAGAAAAAAATTCAAGTCGCCCCTGGACAAACTCCTGACTACGTCACTAAGCCCCTCTGAAGTGTATCAACATGTTGCCTGGAATCCATTATCTAATACCCATTCACATAATTGGTTTACAGTTTTTAGTATTTGAAACCTGAAGTACAATAGAGCGTCTTTAAGCATTCGATGAAAAACAGATTTATTCTTAAATTTTTTTTTGTTATTTTTCGTAAATTCACCTTTGTACATAATTTGAGGTTCAAATGGTTCTGGTTCAGGTTCATGGTCTAGTTGATTTTGAAGTCCAACTAATTCTTCTACAACTAACTGAAAATATTGGTTTCATCAAAAGAATCACGGGGTTGTTATTCTTGAAAATACCCCCCCCCCCGTTTGAAAATATTTTGCAACTCCAGAGTTTTATTTGCTAAATTGGGGAAATAAATGATTTTTAAGGGAAAATAAGAAAATAAATATTTTTTTGGCAAACAGGTATTTATGAGGTTGAAGAAACTTGTCGTTTGAAGTGTAAATTTTCATCCCCTCCATATCATCAAAAATCATGCCGGGGGGAGATTCTTAAAATTATGTACCCCTGGAGCATCATCGAAAATACGGTAGGGGATTTTATATACTTTAATTGCGGTTTCAGAAATATATTGCTTTTGTAGTCAACACTTATCAGTCATCATGTCTACCTTAACTTTGGCATATAAACTAAAAAGGTCTGAAAAAAGTTCACTTTTATCGCTATTTTCTCAAAATTTTCAGGAAATCCACGAAAATATTAATGAAAAACCTGCAAATTTTGTTTTAATATAGAAGAAAAAAACCAACAGTACATAACAAATATACTGTAGAAAAGGGAATTTGTAGTAAAATATTTTAAATGAAAATACAATTATCAGTTTAAAAATAAAATGAATATACCTGCACCCTATTCTCATGGTACACAAAATTCTAAACAACAATTACTATTATTCTCGAGAGCCTAGATTTTATATTCTTTCATCAAAACTTAAAGGGAGTGACTGGCTATGTAAGGTAGTTGAACAGAGTATGCAGTGTTGTGGACAACTTTTTTCGGATTCATTTGAGACATATTACACTTTTTAAAGATCTGTAACTCCTGAGTTTGAGCGCAAATTCGACGTTCAAAACTCCTACTTTGGGGGTGGATACGTTTTCAGAATAAGTTTTTTTTAAAATTATTAAATAACGACGACATAATATGTAAAAAAAAATTCTACAGTAAACTAATTAGTTGTTTAGGAACAGGTTGAGAAAATAAAAATTAATCTTATCACCGAAAATAAGTAATATTGTTCAATTATTTTTCCTATTTTTTCATTATTCTGGTTTCTCATTATTCAAAGATTTTCCGCAGATTTTCTAGAATTATTATTGAAAAGACGACATTTGAAGAATTTGAAGAAATCTGCGAATAAATTCAAAGAAAACAAGAAATTCAATATAATGATGAAAACGAAATATTTGATTCTAGCATTGATTTATTGACAAATTTCTTTTGAGAAATATGTTCCTAACCATCTAATTAGATTACTGAATAAATTTTACTTTTTTCGTCGTCGTTATTTAGTAATTAAAAAAACCCGATTATGAAAACGTATCCATCCACCCCCAAAGTAGGAGTTTTGAACGTCGAATTTGCGCTCAAACTCAGGATTTACAGATCTTTTAAAAGTGTAATATGTCTCAAACGAATCCGAAAGAAGTTTTCAACAACACTGCATACTCAGTTCAACTACCATACATAGCCGGTCACTCCCTTTAAATGTAAATTAACGTGACCCTTCATTGCATGGTATGGCATGTCTGATTGACAACAGTGCCATCAAAACCTGATCTGAGGCCGAATTAAAAGAATTTGAGCCGCGGTTTAAATTTAAGCCGCGGCTTAATTATGATTGGTTTCACTTAAAATTGTATCAAATGTTTCAAGATTTAAGCCGGCGCTCAATTTTAACCGGGTTTTAAGCCGCGACTTAAAGTCATAAAATTCGGACACTGATCAAGTATGAATTATTTATCAATACTTTGTTTTGAAAACTGCATATTTTATTTGAGATTTCTCTGCTGCAGTGAAGTCATAAGAAACACGTAGGGTACAAAGGCACCTTTGTGAATCTGACTTGCTCCTCTTTAAAGGGTCACTTAAAATTACGATGACAGTCCCTTTAGTTTAAGTACTGTAAAATTACGATGACAGTCCCTTTAGTTTAAGTACTGTAAAATTACGATGACAGTCCCACCCCCCCCCCCCCCGTTGACACGAAAAAAGCATGAAAATATTAAAATCAAGAGTACAAACATAACTAAAATTCTTATTGAAAAGCAAGTTTTGTCGCTATCTCCTAATTACTTTGGTGCTGCTTGAATTTATATTGTGTTAATTCACATTTATTTGTACCATATCTATGATTTCGTTCACACTATTTTTAAATTCTTAGCGTTTGCGTCAAAATAGAAAAAGTCATTCGATTCTGCAAAAAACAGCTTTTACATTTAGTGAATTTCTTTATAGCGACCATAATTTGTTTTAACTCTTACCTAAGAACCTTGTGTGTATCTTTTATTAGACCATCTCTAATAGGATCTATTTCTTCGGCAGGTTGCCTCTCCAAACTCTCATCTAAATAAAAGAATTAGTTCTTTATCTTCATTTAAAATTAATATAAACATTTTCACGTACTAAATGAAGGTATTTTGTTAACGTATAGAAAATAAAAAGTTATAAATTATAAACCTTTAAATTTAAATCCTGCCATTAGTCGCCCAACAGAACAAAACATGTTATAGTTATAGTTATAGTATTTATTTTCAAACACAAAATACAAAATAATAATGTATGATGGTTCAGCTTAAAATAAAACACAAAAGAAACTTTAAAGACTTTGACATCTACCATTAGCAAAGGGTGTGAACCCATTCTTGTTGACTGTAGTAGACTTTGACATCTACCATTAGGAAAGGGTGTAAACCCATTCTTGTTGACTGTAGTAGACCTTGACATCTACCACCATTAGCAAAGGGTGTGAACCCATACTCGTTGACTGTAGTAGACTTTGACATCCACCATTAGCAAAGGGTGTGAACCCATTCTTGCTGACTGTAGCAGACTTTGACATCCACCATTAGCAAAGGGTGTGAACCCATTCATGTTGGCTGTAGTAGACTTTGACATCTACCACCATTAGCAAAGGGTGTGAACCCATACTTGTTGACTGTAGTAGACTTTGACATCCACCATTAGCAAAGGGTGTGAACCCATTCTTGCTGACTGTAGCAGACTTTGACATCTACCATTGACAGTGTTATACTCCTAATTAAGTTTTCATCCGACTGATCTTTTTAAGGTTTTATGAAATTTAACTTTTTCGCGGATTTTATCATTGCAGAAGCTGAAATTTGAATTTACGTCACAGTTAATACATAATATGTTGGTTTTAAAAATTGTATAAATTCATGGTGTTAAAAGCATTTGCTATATCCTCTGTGGACTGTAAAGCGTTCAAATGTTTTGGCATGAAATCAAGTGGAATTGTTCCTCAAGATTGGAGAGGTGGAAATATTTAACCAATCTTTTAAAAGAAGAAAGCAAGAAAGATCTATGAAATTATGGTGACATCACTTCAATACCTTGCAAAAAATGGAGTCAATTATTAAAGATCAAATTAAGGATCTTTTAACTAAAAACAGTTTGTTAAATAAATCTCGGCATGAATTCATGAAAATAAAATCATGTGTGCTTAACTTAATGGAGTTCTTTGAAAAAGTAACGTTTGAAATTGACATAAGATCAGATCAGATCAGAGCTGGAAACTTTAGAATGGGATATCCTTAATCCCGATCGGTTAATTAATCTGGAGATTAAATTCCTGAGGAGAACAAGCCATATTTAATCTGGAGATTAAGAAAAAGAGTGGATTAAGCATTAATCCCGATATTCACCATTCTAAAGTTTCCAGCTCAGAGCTGAAAACTTTAGAATGTGATATCCTTAATCCCGATCTGTTAATTAATCTGGAGATTAAGTTCATGAGGATTATAAGCAATATTTAATCTTGAGATTAAGAAAAAGAGTGGATTAAGCATTAATCCTGATATTCACCATTCTAAAGTTTTTAGCTCAGATCAGATCAGATCAGAGCTGAAAACTTTAGAATGGATAAACTTTAATCCTGACTTCTTGATCCGAATATCCACTGTGGAAACTTTTCATTTTAGTCCTTAATCCAGTCTTTTTCTCTCTCCTTGGATATCCGTTAATTGTTTTCTCCAATGAGAATATTTCTGTTCTCTGATTGGCTGCTACAGTTTCTCAGATGATTAAATATTAATTTGAATTTTATCGTTTTTCTTACACTTTTCAGATAATCTTGCAAGATTATGTTAATCTGGAGATTAAGAAAAAGAGTGGATTAAGCCTTAATCCCGATATCCACCATTCAAAAGTTCCCAGCTCTGATCAAATCAGATCAGATCAGAAAGAAAGAAAGAAAGAAAGAAAGAAAGAAAGAAAGTAAGTAAGTAAGTAAGTAAGTAAGTTAGTAAGTAAGTAAGTAAGTAAGTAAGTAAGTAAGTAAGTAAGTAAGTAAGTAAGTAAGTAAGTAATTAAGTAATTAAGTAAGTAAGTAACTAAGTTATCGACAACAAATTTACAAACTTACTTGTTGTTTCGAAGTTTTTTGTCTAGATATAGGTTGGTTGTTGTTTGGTTCATTGTTGTTGACTAGATCTAGGATACCTTCCCTTTACCTTGGTTGTTGTTTCGTTCATTGCTGCTGACTAGATCTAGGATACCTTCCCTTTACCTTGGCTGTTGTTTGGTTCATTGTTGTTGACTAGATCTAAGATACCTTCCCTTTACCTTGGTTGTTGTTTGGCTCATTGTTGTTGACTAGATCTAGGAGACCTTGATCTGGGTTTAATCCAAGGTTTAAGCTCTCTTCTACACTCTCGAGACAGGTATCAGAGTCTCCCAAACTTAAATATTAAACTTCAGGCTTTAGAGGGTAAAACTTTATCGCTTCTGAACTCGATATCGACTGGTGGAGAGGGGGGGGGAGGTCAAAAGAGGAAAAAAGTTGGAGATCAAAAGGCACTTTTTTCATTCTTTCTGATACTTTTTACCGAAAATATCGTCGATTTTCCATAATTTATTATCCCAAATTCAGCGAATGAGACCCTAGACATAACTTTTGCGCTCGCAATCATAAAAAACAGATTTTCAAAATGGGTTTGGGAATGATATTTAATGAAAATATACACCCCTGTTTACCGATCTCTATAAAGAGTATGCTAACCTGATAATACTTTTATCGTCTTCCTCAAGAATTGTATCATCTATCTCTAAATCTGCATTCTCTTCGGTTCGCCTAATCAGGGGAAAATTATTACATGAAAAATATCCCCCCCCCACATTTCCCTTTATTATAATTATTAAAATTTGAACTATGAAATGAGAAACAAAATATCTCCAAATGGGTTTCGCCAAGTTTAAAAAATATTTAGGAATTAGGGGAACCTAAATTCCGGTTAATTTACTAGATTTACACAGATGTCCGATTTTAGTTCGCGAATTTATCCAGGGAACTTATGTTTTAAGGATTTGAGAACGAAAGTCGTTCAGTTCCATAATAATGGGGAATTAGGTAAGTATGTAAAACAAGTAGTTCTTATCATTTAATAGATTTTTACAACAGTCCGTCTTTATATAAATTTGACTTGTTTGTCTGTCTGTTTGTAAACAATAATCGTCTAAACGGCTGAACCAATCGGGCCTAAATGGACTAACTCGACCCCAAGAGAGGTTTATGGACGGTTAAAGTGAAAACCTTTGCCTGAAATTTCAAATTTTAAAAATCTATCACGGTTTCTAGAAATAAACCGCAAAACTTTGAGTTTTACAAAAAACGACCACTTGATCAAAGCAACATTTAACGCTTAAATTGATGGTCAAAGAGTGGCGCGAGGCGCCCTGATTAAATGACCCTGGTAAGTATTAATGATTTTGCTGACCTATTAAAGATGAGAATAACTTCTTCCACAACTTTATCCGACCCTAGACGAGGTTTGTTAGTGTGCTGCTTCTCCAGTTCGGCAAATATAGCATTGGGGTCAACCTAGATATATACAGGGTGTCTAAAAACAACGAGGAATAAGGGTCTACAGACTAGTTTGTAATCGGATCTTTTTATAAATCTCCTTACAATTTCCGATTCAAGGACTTGTAGATCTAAAAATGACAATTTTATAAACTCCTAAAGTTTCCAACTAGAGTGAGTAAAAAGTAAAAGATAAACTCCGATTGCACAATGTTGTATTCAATGTTTGGTTACAGTTTATTACAATTAAAATTACAGTTTATAAAAATCTTATCCAATATGTCCACCATTAGCAGCAAGACACTTTGGGCCCTTGATCTAACTTCAAAAATAGCCTTTTTGAAGACAACAGGGCCCACGGCAGCTTTTCCGCTCCTGTTGTTAACCTCAAGTTCGTAAAGTGAATGAGGCATTTTTCTCGCTCCAGTTGGAAACTTTAGGAGCCATATAAAATTAACATTTCTACAAGTCTAATATTGCGCTTCATAAATCGGAAAATATATATACTCCTGTTTACAGAGGTGTATATTTTATGAATTTTCAGGGGAAAAAATTAATTATGATTC